TAAATGTTCTGAATTATCAAGTAGCCTACGCTAGTAGTATTTGGAAAAAACATTTATCACGTTTATAACTCCACATCAATTAACTTTAACGTTAACATTTTATAATTTATATGAAAATATGGCAACTAGATTTTTACCTTTCAATTTGCAATAAATAATATTTATAACCTTTACACCTTGTGTTCTAGGTCGACTGTTATCGCCGACGTTTTGATAAACGTAACGTTTATTAAGCCTACTATTCACTAGGTGTGTATATATGTATATGTATAAAATGTGTATGTGTTTTGCAGATACAAGCCAATGGCATATGTGTTTCTATCAGAAAAATAAAAATTGAAACACTAAGTTTACATTTTGATGTCAACAAATTCAAACCCAAGATACTTCAAAGGCATAACAAATAATTTTAACATTAAATCCATATATATAAAGCGGGTAAGCAGGCTCTGCTTTCATCCCATTAATGATCATAAATTTCTCTAAGTCCTTGACAGCTTTCCCAAAGTCTAATCACACCTTACATACATATTTTATAACAGTTAACATGATAATTTGCAGTAGTTATTCACATAAATATTGCTTAATGAATACAGTATTTTATTTCAAGAGTCATTAATTCGTATATGCACATAACGACCTATTTATTCAAAGCAAATACTATCCGTTTAGCATACACCTGATTTTAATGTAATTTTATAAAAGATCCATTTGAGCATACAGAATGACTGCATAGAAATATATCTATATATATATATATTTCAATGCAGTCATAAGTAAAAAGTAGTTAGTTACCTACAACATTGTAAGGGTAAGATTAAAGTCCCATTGTAATAGTAAGAGTCAATTAAATAATTTATGGTGAATTGAAACACGTTTGTAGATTATAATATCATGAACTAGTGCTGCATTCGACTTCGTCTGCGTATACATTTGGAGAGGTCATATAAATATTAAGAATAATCAAACAATAAAAATAAAAGGGCATTGATAAGCAACGTGTTTATTATTTTAATAATAAATAAATTAGTAGTAATAGAAGACATGTATAAATTAATAAAAATGATCTATCTCTTTAGATTTCTTTATCTTATATGTTGACGCACATTTAACAACAGAATCTGAGAAAATTTTATACTAATTGCTATAGCCGTTATTACATGAAACCTTAACACAGAAACATACAAACAGACAATATATACGTGGTGGCGGATATCACTTACCATCAAAAGAGCCACTAGCATATTTGTATGCATAAAAAAGGGACAATCAGCCAGTTCTCGCTTAGTCACGATTTTACTATTTCATTATAATGATGCCCAATAAGCGCCAGTAGTGGTGAATAATGAAAATATTTTATGAATATTTAAATATTTATACCATATTATGTCATGGAAAGTCTAATAATATATGATACATTTTTTACTAGTATGTAGATTTTATGCAGCACTAAAAATTGAAAGGTGGCAGTCGATAAGTTCCGGCAGGTGTAACCCTCCTTTGAGCATAGGAACCACCCGAGATTTAACCAGTAATTGCCCTGCTGAATATTCAAAGCTATGCACTGACGATCAGCAATTGCGGCTACGTGTTCTTGATTAGTTCACAGCCCCTGCGATAATGAAAATATAAAACTAATCATTTCTTTTATAATATGTATATAAAATTTATTTATAGAATCACTTAATAAATACAGAACCTAATGTTAGTGCATTAATTTTGATCGATGCTAATGAATTATAGTTCTTATCAAAAGTTAGTTAATAAGACGGGTGACTATAGGCGTTGGTTTCCATTTTCAATTAAAAGAAGTATAACATAATTTACTTGCAGTATGAATTGTTTTTATATAAAAACTTAATTCTGCAAATAAAAATCTAAAACAAGTTTTAAAACAGAGTTATCGCTGCATCATTAAGAATTAAGGAGTTCCCAAAAACTTTTCGGAAACACATTACGAAGAGAAAAAAGTAATTCGCAAAGCTTTAATTATTCAGCGACGTAGATTGTTTTCAGTGTGAGCGGCCGACCGAAATCTAAGTGCACGGTAGTGCACAGAACAGGATCTAAAAACAGAGTCTTCAGCTTTCATATTAATATTACATATTATCTATACCATTCTTAATGTTATTTTAATTGCTACATTACATTCTATTATATTATATAAGAAGAATAAAGTATTCTAACAAATTAGGATGATAAATTAATATAAATAAATATACCTACCTGGACAACATAAAATATAAGTATTTATGTCAGTTGTCAGTTTATAATATTACATACCATACCACAAGCTCTGGGACTAGATGGCGCTGAGTTAATTGTCCAGGTATATTTATTTATATTAATTTATCATCCTAATTTCTTAGAATACTTTATTCTTCTTTGTAGAAATGTTTGCACCCTGCGAGAAGTCGAACCCGAGATCAAGGGAAATAAAGCGATATTCCAAACCGCTAGACTACCGAGGCCATCATTCATCATTAAGAAGTAACTCATCAACAAAATACGAATTAATAATATGATATAATTGAAAATACAATAATATATTCAATTAATAAATGTATCTTGAAGGAAAGCAGAATACAGAATCACACCCATCGAACGGAACCATCTGTGCATTTACTTTAGAACAATGACATTTGAAATGGGTCAGCCATGATACGGCCAACTGAGGCATAAGGAAACTTCGACCTCGAACAGGGAAAGTCAATTCAAAGTGAGAACTTTTTTAAAAGGTTAACCCAGTACCGAGCAGGCCTTCCCTATTGATTTTAAAATAGTCCCTATACATTGTTGTTCTCGTATTCGTCTAAAGGCCTCCGTGTAATTGTGCTCTCAAATCTTCGTTAGTAAACACTGAATAATTTATTGACCACCCGAAAAGGGTAGTTGGAGGTTACGCCCAAAACAAAAGACGTAATAAAGTTTAGTGGACCTAGACGCACTGAAGGAAGGCAACGATGCGGTGAAATTGTGAATCTTAAACATGCATATGTAAGTAATATGAATATGTGAATCGAAAGCCAGTGTTTCTACTGTTTACATATATAATATTTCAAATATTATTGAAATTAATGACTAAACCTACTCGCCTTAGAATACTTTGAATTGTCAAATTATATAATCAAATAAAAACACTAGAAACCTCAAAAGCGGCTATTCTATTCGTAACGTGAAAAACTTTTATATTACAGGTTGATTATAATTACACAAATTAATCTTCTTTATATAAATTGAGCAAGTTACTAATTATAATTTAATGGACATGTGAAATTAACTGTAATTACTTTTTGAAATTATACAATAAAATAAATTTTAATTTGAACATATCTTACAAATATTATTATCGCTAATAAATGCATGTTTATTACTCTTTCGCGCAAAAACTACTGAGCGGATTCTGATGAAACTTTATAGTAATATAGCTCATACATAAGAATAACATATAGGTTATAAATTTTATGCGGGTGAAATAGCGGGCACAGCTAGAATGTAATAAATCTTTAATTTGCACTAATTTGTTATAAGAATTATCTTAAATAGTAACTACGTATATTTTTATGTTCGATTTAAATATAAACATATATCTATACACAATGACTTTTGAATTATGATGCGCATTGGTCCCCTTAATATATTATTATGTTAATGTAGCGCATATCATTTCAAGCATCACGCGCTCATGAATAAGGGTAACCATTTTTCATGTAGGTACTTATTTTAAGATGAATACTACTTAGTTCGAAGCTTGCAGTTAACAACTAATTAGGTACCAATTTACTTCAACAACTGTAACAGCTATTAGATGTAGTTAGTAGTAGTTCTAACTCACTAACCTCCAAGTGTGTAGAACTTGACGAGATAGCCGGTGTAGATTCCTTAAGGAATGATACTGGTAACATATTGGTATTTAAACCGCGTAAATATATAGAGATGGCAAATTGTATAGAATAATAGATTTATACAATGTATTATAAAAAAAATTGAAATGGATAAAATTTATTCCACAGATTGTTTTCTGTAAATTTTCTGCTATAAAAAAAATAATATAACGCTCTAAAGTAAGGTGTTTTGTTTGTTTTATAAATTGAACAAATAATAATTATCATTTGAAGGCAGAAAGCTGAGAAATCCATAACCGTTAGTATGACATTGCGCTCAAATAATATCTGTTTTCAAGTACAATATCAATTAGTAGAAATATAGAAATTTATTTTCACAATCAATGTATATTTATGCAAAACGTTATACCGCTTCTGACCGTGAAATATTGAAAGGAATATAATACTGTGTACCCTTTCAGTAAAATATATTTGAATATTTATAAATAAAACATGATATGTGGTAACCCTATATAAAATCTATTAAAATATCGCGATTGTCGCGTCCCGGCCGCTATATCGCCTGAATAATGAATACACGCACGCCTCGTATATTGGCCCCTTTTTAATTTTCCATCGCTTACACGGGTATAAATGATAACGGATACAGATCGCTGAATATTATAACATTAATAAAAATTATATTAGCTTTGATTAGAACGCCCACACATTTTTATTCGTAATAAACGTCCTACATTCTTTATTTTAAAGTGCCACTCAGATTCAAACTTAATTGGTATTTTGAAGCGCGTATTTTATAGACCTCCTATAGCTACAGAGCAAATACGAAATGAAAGAATAAGCGGCGTTATATTTCAATAAAAACAGCGGCGACGATATTACGAATTGAAATGTGAGAGAATGAAGGCATAATGAAGACGACTCACCTCGGCCGGAAGCCATTGCTCCGTCCCACGTCGTTCCTGTGCGACGATATCCTGTGCAGCTCAATTTCCTGTCCCGTGGAAATTCCCGTCGAGTTTTTATTTGCTCCCTTCATTCCGACACTGCGCCCGTTTCGTTTTTATCTGCAAATGTTTATCGCGTACCGGCCGCCGTGATTTTGAATGCCCTCAGAGGTTGTATTCCAGACATATCGAGTGTCAGCATTTATGACACCTGTCAAAGAGAGCAGTTTTTAGATAACAACGCAGTTTTTCCACTAAATATTTTTGATACTTACATATATAAATGTCGTGGGGTTGGGAGTGTAGAGCGAAGTTTGTGAAACAACTACCCGCAAAACCGACTGAACGACGCGGGCTAATTTCAGGCGAAAGAGGTTGTCCAGGTCCAAATCGATACGAGGCACCGCAAATATTCTGTAAATTCTTCAAATAATTTACTACTTCTCATATTTTAGTCAAAAATATAGACTTAATATTAAAATTTTATATACATATTAGTTATATCATGCTTCAAGTGAAAATAATTGTTGATCTTGCCTACTTAGAATACTATGACAATATTGAAGTTATAGAAAGGTCTTTGTACTTCGTAGGTGGCAATGGATACTCAAAAATAAGACGCTCGCCAGCTTATACTTTCGGTCATCGAACAAGGTCTAGTTTCTCTAAGCCTGTTACTACACCTTTTGCACCGATGTTCGGCTGTCAAGGATTAGGAAGCAAAGGTAAAATTTTCAATGTTATGTTTTTAAAACTGTAAACACAAAATTATTATAATTTGAGGTAATATTTCAAATAGTAAAGAGTGTAAAATAAATGTAGAGTTTCATATACCTACCGTTATAAGTAAAATAAGCCAATTATTAAATGATAAATTATAATAATACTAAATATAGTACTGCTGTTATCTTGTTACCATATTTAAGGCAACCTTTATTTATCATAAATCATTAGTGTCAAGATCCGATTAATTATATTAATAACTAACTACTCGTTCCGGCTTCGCCTGGGTGTACATATATTATATATATAAATATTCCTCTTGAATTAGTTTGACTATTAAAAAAAACCGCTGCAACATCCGTTGCGTAATTTTAAAGATTTAATCGTACATAGGAAAAGACAGCGACTGCGACTTTCTTTAATACTATGTAATAATGATAATTATGATGTCTATTGAACCAAAAAATTAAAAAAAATAATTATTGAGATCACTCAATTCTTGCATTATCAACATGTCTTACCAGGTCAATATAGAATAACTCACTGCGTCATCACACCACATATTGAGTCTCCATACGATAGAGTGAAAATACCAGGACCTGGAACATATGCCCCCACAGCCGTATCTCAATACAAACGACCACCATCATACAGCATGCGACCTGCAGCAAGACCGCCTTATCAAGCATGGGACCAGTGGACTCCGCCACCAAATATGTACTACCCTCCAATACCTGCCATGTAAGACTTTCCTAACTACATACTTATATTTTGACATCAAATATTACAATAATATGTAAAAGTAGTATAAAATGTATGTCATACCTAATACTGAGTTTCGGATATATATAAATAATTTCAATTGAAAAGATTGCCAATCAGGTAACAATCAGACAACTTGCCGTCTGAAGAAATCAGGAGATGCCTGAACTGTCGAGTACCTGAAATGCTGCATTCGTGCATAAATCATGCATCTATGCGTTATTAAGAGACAAGCTCGTTGTCTTCCGTCCACAAAAAAAGAACCCAGATAGTTCCTTAGATTACGCTATATGATTTCATTAATCTGCCAGATATTTTTTAATTGATTATGATGTGGTAGATAAAGAAAACTAAATATATTATCACAAGAGATACTGCCCGTTTATGTTTCAGAAAAGCGCCAGCATACACTCTCGGTTACATGGAAAGAGGCTTAAAAGCACAAAATTTCCCGGGGCCCGGCGAACACGAGCCAAACTTTGACTACGTCAAGAAAAACAAACCTGCATTCTCTTTTGGTAGCCCATTTAAGAGTTTAAGACCACCGAAGACGCCGCCTCCGAACGCTTACTGCGAGAAAAAGGTAAGCAGTCAATTTACTTAAAACATATTACTTTAATTTGGAGTTAATCAAACTCGTAAAGTTAACTGCCTCCGATTTTTGGAGTGGTAAATATTTGTCTCGAAAATGCTTACGTCTAATGAGATTTCTTCGAAGGGCTTAGACTTGCTATGAACAGCAATAATCACAATTGGTAATTTGTAAACCGAATTATATGTATGAAATTTTATAAATTCATTCATCATATTTTTTCTTATATTATAAATATAATGTAACTTAACATATTTACTACTTAATAAACGGTTTTATAATTTACGGTACTCTTAGTGGAATCGTGAACGTCCATAGTAATATCATAAATAACGTCATAGACGTCAACCATATATCTGGTCCTTCTATGGCTCGATATTCACCGTCGACGTAAAAATGCTAGGATAAATTTTTAAAATGTCCGATTATTTCAACACCTGTATAGATAAAGATTATCTATGTGAATACTACAGTCATGTAGTACTGTATACTCATTTTCAACCAAAGAAGCTTCCTATTTTCATAGTGCTCCGGACTCCGGACTCCGGCCAACCCACGAGGATGTCATATAATAATGTGATGACCGTGGTGCAGTTCATGTACATATAAACGATTTACCATCAGGCGGACCATTTACCATCGGCTTAATTGACCAAAAATGAAATAAAATAAATCATAATTTTGCAACTGAAAGTACCCATCTACTTAAACTACAGTATAAAATAGGACGCTTCATTCTGTCTTTATAAAGTTTGTTCTTATTCCGACTTCACAAAAACATAAATGATTCACTTAAACTGACGAACTTGAATATAACACAAAGATGTATCTTCAAAAATATCTGAGAAAGCCAAACTTTCTCTTTGTATTACGACTGATAATAAGCAGTCGTTCGTATAAGACATTGCCCAAAGTTATCCCATTTTCCTCTAACTGTCACGCTTTGTCTGAATTCCTCTTATAGTTTAAATTATGAAATTTAATCGCCCACTTTATATTACTAATATATGTTATTATACAAAAAATACCCTTTTCTTGGTTTTAAAGGTTGAATTAAAAACATGATTATAAAAAAGAAAACTATTTAAATATGCAAACGTCATAAGATATGATTAACTAGCTGATCCGCTCAATTATGTCTGCATCAACCACATTTGACATTACATTTCGCCCAATTTGCATAATATCTTATTAATTTTAGCCTGTTTTATTCTAATGGATAAGCTACATTACTGTAAAGTTTTATCAAAATTCATTCCAGTAGTTTTTGCGTGAAAGAGTAACAAACGTCCATCGATCCATTCATTTATCCATACTCACAAACTTTCGCTTTTATAATATTAGTAAGGTATAAAAAAATACAAATACGTTAATACACATTCTTACATATTGAAACGGTACTGTTGTATCACTTTACCAATTAACGTAGTAATTGTTACAGTAATTCCATAATATATCTATGATAACAATTAAAATTGCAACAATGCTTTTTATATCTAGCCTAGAATTTGAAATACATCTTCAGTATGGGTAACTCAGTCTCACCTATATCAGTTGTCAAGCAGCTTGCTTTGTAAAATGTATTTCGGTTGTATGGTGAGTTAACGCAGTGAAATAAAAATTTGTTCATGGTAATGAAGAATGAATGGTCAAACACGAGTACTCTGACAGGCGTTACATTGTTATGTGACATCCGTGGTGCTGTTCATAAGCAATGATTACCACTTACTATAAAGAGAGTCATCAGCTTATTTATTTATTAAATATAGTTAAATAAATTCGCAGTCCCAGTATTAGCAGTATTTATAAATCTACTAACTACACGAGACGCTGCAATATGTACGAGCCTTTATGTTACACTTATGCAAATTGTAATAAATCATTCGTAGAATGTATATTGTATTATATCTAATGCTTATCACTTTTCCAGTTCATGGTAACGAAGAGAACAATGCCGACTCCGTCTTTTGGTATACGTCACACACCCTATTTAGGGCGACACGAAGTACCTTTGAAATCATCTAAATTAGGTTTAATAATAAACGGCGCTCATTAAATTAATTGCACTTTATTAGCAATTAAGTTAGATAATTTTATTATTTCATGTAATTTTACTGATGTACCCTGTCTACTTAGTAGGTTATTGTTTCTAGAGTTTCTTATACCTTATGCTGATATTAATAAAGTTGTATATTGACTTTTCTGTACAATTATAATTACCTACTTGAATTATTTCATCCTTAATTTCCTCCTGTCTATTAATACATGTTGTTATATATATTATATATACTTAAATCAACTGCTAGTATATATTACATTGGTTAGAAAAATACTTATATGTAAGAGAAAATATACCCTATAATTTTACATGTAATTTTAAATTCTGGGACCAAATGAATAGAAGAATGTAATCAGTGCATACTATGTATTGGAAAAGTAGTTCATTGTCTATATCAGATTATATTAAGAGAAAATGTAATGTTTTTATTGTATACTCTCACCCCTTTTAGCCAAACACATACAGGTGAATACAAAATACCACAATAGTGGCAATCAAACATATACGGCCACGGTGGTCTAAAGGTTTAGCATACCCCCCTTACTTCCGATGGTCGCCGGTTCGATTCCTCGCATGGCACAAAAATTTGTATTCATGAGTATGATTGTTTGTATCGGTCTATGTGTCTATGTATAATATGTATGTATTTATGGAAAAAATATATATCAATATATATGTATCAGTACCCTTAACATAAGCTTTAGCTAGTTTAACTTCGGTCTAGATAGTGCTGTGTGAACTGTCCTGAGATTATTAGTATTAATAATTCAGCAGTAAACGGTCGGTAGGGCTTATGGACGCCTGAAATACCGCGCACCAATGTGCGCGCTACTTATTCTTAAGAATGGTTTCATGACGTTATATGCCTAAGTTTTATTTGTATCTTTATACACATGCTTTATCTACATTTTGATTCTCGGGAAGGCTTTAACACTCTATTTTCTGATTCTTATTAATTTGCAATATTTTCCTTCTTAACAATGGATCTTCTGTATGAAATATCTCGCGAGAAAAGTTGTTCAGTGTGAGTAATTCTAAACTGAACTATTAATAGTTACATTTTCATTTGTATACGTCAAGGAATGGCAGTTAAAATGTGTGTAATTAACTTTAAAAGGTATCGACAGATCTAAAGTAGACCATTACCGCCTGAATTCATTTGATTTTAGTTTCTTTCAAGTTCGCCCAAACGAGTTAAACTTTACACAGAGCTCACTCACTATTAGAAGTAGAATGGCACAGATCTAAAGTGCAATTTAATGGTTTGGCCATGCGGACGTAGTATTAAAACACGATCAAAGTTAATTTAGCAAAGTTTTATTCAAACTTGCCAAGTTACGCTGATTTGTATGCAGGGAGAACGTTTCAGCGACCACACCGCCGTAAACATAAACCGGCTCCTGTAGGACCACTTAAAGTTTTTCTATTCGTTTTTCCCTATGCATTTCATATTGTTGCGGACGCTTGGTCCATTCCAACAAGGAATTTATCCATGAAAGCTTTTAAATTCAGAATATTGTACTAAACCAAAAGAGCAGTAAATAGGTTACCTACTTAGTGTTCTATATTGTATGTTGTGATAATTGTAAATGTTATAAAAGATCAGTAAGCTTTAACTTCAACCATTACGTCTAAGCTTACTAATGCAAATGAAAAATATGAGGTCATGAGGTCGGGAAGTCGATGGTGATGAAATCTCTAAGCATTTATCTCATTTGCCACGCATAATCACATTGTGGAATCACCTTCCAGCAATGGTATTTCCGAACCGATACGATATTGAAATCTTCAAGAAAAGAGCTTATTCCTTTTTAAAAGGCCGACAACGTACTTGCAATTCCCATGGTGTTGCGGGTGCTCATGGGCGGCGGTATTCACTTACCATCAGGTGAGCCGCATGCTCGTTTATCCCCTGTGTTATAAAAAAAAAATTGGCTTCTAATCTATACTGATGTTATAAAGACAAATTTTGTGAGTGTGTTTGTTCTGGGTAATATTCGGCACTACTGATTCGACATTCAAAATTGAAAATTATAGTGATGATTAGCCCGGGCTGCAATGAAGTATATTGCTAAAACGCGAAATGTGACACAATGTGAGGACGATGGGTAGGCCAGCGGGTTCCATATAAAACTAAATTGTAACAAATACTTTCTAAAATGTAAGGTTGCTCAACTATCCTTAACGCTCCAAAATGAAATGTGTTATTGATGTGCAATGAGAGTAAACCCGCACTACGTGTTGTGAAACCTCTTTAGTTTAATTTTTTATATTTAAAAAGTAATGTATTATAAAATTTTGAAAGTTAGTTCCTAAGATTATTGCAAAAAAGTGACATTATATTTTTCTTTCGGAATTTCCTAAAATATTTTATTTCTATATATAAATCCACTCATCCTATGTACCTGCTGTCCCAGAACCTATTATCATATATCATATATCACAATATCATCGAATTATCCAATCCATCACACTACGCATACCATGTTTTAAACCAACATAACTCGAGCCTACCTCGATTTCCCTTATAGTTTATTAGTTAGTCAGAAAATTGAATTAGTAATATTTTTTAATTTTGCCATTTTCGATTAAACCTTTGCACTAACACAAGAAAAGTACCTATAACATTCTATTCATACTAAATTTAAATCTACAATTTACGTACAAGCAATCTCACCAGAACTAGAGACTGCAAAATAAACATGCCATCTCTAACGACGGCGAATGGCCCTCAGCTCCGAAGTGCAGCAGTGTTGATTTTCGATGATTAAGTTTGCGTTGTGCAAGTGATCACCCCATTTGTTATTCGTTTGACTAGTGAAGTCAAACACGACGGTCTATTCGTAGACTGAGACGTATTTGTAGATTGAGAAAATCTTTATCCTACCAAACAGGAATTTTAGTAATAATAATTTGTATTTATTACAATGTAAAAACGTATGATTCATCTACAGAACTACATAATACTTACTGAGCCTGCGTTTGCATACCCGTGATATTCGAAATAGCAATAGGTTATATCTCTTTTTGTAAACTAATTTAAAGTCAAATCTACCACAATACTTTAGTGATACCCCTCACAATAAGATTAAAGCATTACTGTAATCAGGGCGCCAAATAAAACGACAAACAGAAAGACAAAAATTAAACAATTATTATTTTTGTTAATTATATTGAGAAAGTCATGTACTTACATAATAATACAATTTAGTATTTACATAACCTAGTTGTACAACTAAGAACCTAAAATTAAAAAGATTAAAAAAATATAATATGATGACTAAAATATATTATTAAAAGGGGTCCCTTTAGGATACAATTTATGTACAGACAGCGATTATCGTTCATTTAATTTGCGACAATTAATAAAATATGATATTGAATAATAATTTAATCCACTATCATTAACCAAATAGATGTAGAAAATAATTAATTTTACCATAAACAATAAAATAACTGGTATATCAAAACCTAAACTTAAATCTCGTTGACAATATTACTTACTTAATGAAAAATTCGTTGATGCAATAAAATGATTTGTCAATAAGGCAGTTAAAACGCTCTTTCTTGAATATTATAACATTGCTGAATTCTCATATGTCGTCTAGGATGACATTTAACAAATATGGCTGACTCGTACAGTGATCAGTTTACATTCTTACCTTTTTTTTTATTTATTTATACTCTTTATAGCACCGAATACAGAAAATGTGGTATTATCGTTAAGTAATTTTTTTCCAGATTGCCTTTGTGTAGATAGAGAAAATAAAGATAAGGAAATTACATTTAAATTGTTTATGTATTTACATTACACCAAGCACATAACATACAACTAGATATTTGATATAAATTCTTAGCTACGTTGTTTTTTTTTTTGGAAATACAAACATAATATACACAGAAAACTTCTTGACCGATACAATATATCATACTTATGAATACTATTGAATACCCGCGACCATCGAAGGTAAAGCGGTGTGCTAAGACGACAGAGGCCGTCATATAGACAAATTAAAATTAAAACAATTTTAAGTTTATATAATACCTATATAATCCATTGCCATCCTACAAATCCAGCAAATTTTAGCTATATGGTCAGCAAATTACAAATATCTTATCTAGTTACTTCCATTTGACCGCATTCAGAACCGAGCAGCCAGAACTATTGGTAATCAACGTCTTTGTGACAGACTCGACCCATTGGCTCTGCGGCGAGACATTGCATCTGTGTGCATTTTCTACCGCATATATCATGTTGAGTGTTCTGAGGAATTATTCGGATTCATGCCATCTGATGAATTTCACCATCGTAAAACACCATACTGATCACCTGGATGAATAGAGGTCCTCCGCCGTGCGTTTTTCTAGAAACTTTTTGTTACGCTCTACCAAATTCTGGAATCACCTACTTATTTCTTCTTAAAATACCGGAAACACACTAACACTTCCCCTGGTGCAACACCCGCTCTTAGGCGGCAGTAATCACTCACCATTCGCAAGCTCGTATGCTATGCTATAAAAAAAATCTGGAAATCAACTAACAACACCATTAAGTAGACATAATGCATGTTTTGGTCTGCTCTGTTCTTCTGTCCTTCAGCATGGAACATCAAATATGTAATGTCGATTATACATATGTACAGATAGATAACGTTTTAACTGTTAGGCGATAGGCCCATGTATGGTTTCTTACCGCATTTTGTTTTATTATTCACTATTTGTAAATAAAAAATATATGTTTAATTTATACTCAAAGGATTGTTAGTATAATTTATATCAGCTATCATCCTGCACGGAACGAAAGTTAGACAAAGTTCAACGTCTCGTAGGCGTGATGATATTATGTTATATACCGTAGATGCCTGTAGTGTGTTTACATTTTAAACCAAATTATAATTAAAGACATTCTGAATTTTATAAGCTATAAAGAAACGTTGTTATGAACAAAAAATCCTAAATATAATATGTATATTTATTGTAATAGAATCAATATAATAACGCATCGACTATAGTATTAGTCATAATGGATATCTCATATTGCAACCTGCAGTGATTATTATCTTTGTCATGAATTTAATAACATTTACGAAGTAACATACTGAAAATCATAAAATAAGTAGTTTCTATGTGAGGTTATAAT